ACAAGGAGTTTACCGGGAAGGGACCGTTAAGTATACTTGACGTGATGTGATAATTGCTAGTAAGACAACCTGCCTTGTGTATCTGTGTGGGGCACTCAGGTTAAGTCCTATCATTTCTGGAGTTGAATGCTCACGGGCCAGGAGAAAAGAGCCCCCATGGACTAAGCATGCCGGTTTTGGGGTCCGGGCCTTGCCACTTGCTTGATGTGTGATCTCAGATGAGTTAAGCTCTCTGTGCCTCAGTTTCCTTCCTGTAAATAACCAAAGCTTACAGGCGGTGAAGTACAGCAGTGAGCCCGTCGCATAGATTGTTTTATTTATTCCACATGACAATATGAAGAGGCACGTATTGCTATCATCCGGGTTTATGGGTGAGGAAACCGAGGCACAGAACTCTGGCTTAACTTGCCCTGGGCTGCAGCTGGCAAGTGACAGAATCGGGATTCAAACTCCCAACATCTGCTTCCAGACCCCACATATTGAAAACTTGATAGGGGTATTAAGATAACTGAACGAGCCGAAACCGGTTTGGCTCAGTGGATAGAGCGTCGGCCTGCGGACTGAAAGGTCCCAGGTTTGATTCCGGTCAAGGGCATGTACCTGGGTTGCGGGCACATCCCCAGTAGGAGATGTGCAGGAGGCAGCTGATCGATGTTTCTAACTCTCTATCTCTCTCCCTTCCTCTCTGGAAAAAATCAATAAAATATATTTTAAAAAGATAACTGAACGAGACAGAAGGTATTATTTAGATAACTAAATGGGGTAGATCACCCTGATAGAATTATTAAGTCATTAAATGAAATAAGGAACACAAGAGCCTAAGCTGGATTTGTGGCCCACGGTAAGCACTCCATAAACGGAAACCTAGCACTCACTCGTTTTCTCATCCTCATCATACAAGCCTCCCCCCACCCCAGAGTTGTATTAATCACTAGGACAGATGTTTCACTGAAATTCACAATTTGTTTTTGTTGTTTTGTTTTCATCCAAAGACTGACATTTCCACGCTGGGGAACAGCCCTGTGTGCCACAGCCAGTGCACCTGCAGGGGGCGTCACCAGTGGCTATGGCAGCCTCCTGCTCACCCGGGCAGCCCACACCACGCCCCCTGCTGGACACACCCTGGAAAGAAAACACACAGAAGCCAAAGGACTAAGAACACCAACTCACAGGTACCTTTTCAGACTAAGCTTTTATTTTTTTGATATTACAAACCAGTTTTCTTTATTCACAAACCACTGTAAGTGATATAAACACTAATTTCTAAAGACAGATATACACATTTTCTGGGTTTGCAGATTGCGTGATGTGTGTGTTAAGAAGTCACTATAGGCCACACATGATATTAATCTTTTTTTTCATAATTCATAATAGCAATAGTTATTTAGATAAATGAAAACATTCCAAATAAATACTGTTTTAAAAAATCCAAAATGTCTGTTTACATCTCTGACATACATTTTAAAATGACTTGTTGGCATCTTGGAGGAGTGCCTAGACAGAAGATCTGCAACCTCAGTTGGCACCCACTTGCTCTAAATGATTTTATTAAAACTACATACAGTCATGGGGGAAAAGTACAGCTCATCAATGAAAATCAAAACTGCAAATTAATTTTACTTTAACCAACACAGTAAGAATTCTATGTTTGTGATTCCAAATACAATGCAAATTCTGGAGTGTGAAATTTGAGGCAATTGGGAGAAATCCGTTTATTCTCCCTAGCCCCCTGTTCTTTCTCTCTCTCTCCCCTCTGGGATAGGATGCCATAGTATTTTAAGAAATCATTGCCTTTCAAAACATCAACTGTCATCACATTGCTTCCCAGGTGGGGGGATGAGAATGCCTTAGTGATGCTATAAAACACCCCTCTGCCCCTCCCCTCCCCCACCCAGAGAAGCCTGCTGAAAAGAACATCTGATACGCTTTGGGCTGCTGAGCAGTTTCCCCCCTTTCTCTCTGGGTTCAAGACAACCGTCCTCTGCCTTAGATAGCGAAGCTACAGAAACTTGGTTTTCAAATCTTGTGAAACTTTATTGATGGTTTAATATCCAACCGATCTTACTGCATGCACATAGGATGACAAGAATGCTGGATCACAAACACTTTTTTTTTTTTAAAGTTTTGTTTGGTTTTGTTTGAAAGCAGAGTTGTTACAGCGGATTGGCAGGTTCACAGCGGTGAGTTGATAACTTACTAAAGTGCTTGCCAGACGGCCGGCACTGTACACATGAAGACTTAACTAGGGCAGCAAAACTACTGGGGACAGCTTGCTGCTGTTTGTTTCATTTAAATACAAAAACAGGAAGACCCGTGACAGATACCCCAACTCAGGTTAACTTGTAAACAGGACAACATGGAAGGCGTTCAAACAGAAGTAATCCGGACAAACTGCAATTTTTCTGCCGTGTGTGTTGCTCTGGCCCTGCTTCTGAGGTGGGGGGGGGGCTTTGTTCTTCGGGAAGGAGGAGGGTACACCTACATTTTTGCTTCTTTCTGACAAGTGTCCTGGGCCTTGGAGACAGAACTAAAGTTACTGATTTGAGATCATCACTGGGGACCAGGAAGAATAGGGGGGGGGGAGTGGGCAGGCTCTCACAGACTGAAAAATTGCAGCTTGCTCACATAACACAGTCATGTTTCAAAAAGTACCAAGCTGACGAAAATACCATGATTATCTCTACTCAATGATTGCAATACTTGTAAAATGCTTCTAGAAATCCGAATATGATTATCATGTAATTCCATAAAAATTATACGTCTGTCTCTAACAGTTGTTCTACTAGGCTAAAACTAAAGCTTCATAGACTGTTTCTAGAACTTAACAACTCCACTGCACAGATGTAAATTTTATACATTTTTTAACTGGTACAAAGAATTTAAGTTTTTATTACTTTCTTTTTTTGGAAAAAAAGAAAAAAATAGAAACAGTGCTTTTTATCACCTTTTTATTAATGTTATTTTTTTTCCCTCCCATAATATAAAAGTCAGCAATGATATCAATAATTTATTATACTGGAAGAAATATAAAAAGAATGCTTGTTGATGGCCTAACTAGCAGTTTTTGCCTAAATAACTAGCGGCTGGTTAAGAAGCTGAGTACTGCCCGGGGGGAAAGGTTAAAGGGTGGGTTTGCACAGCTTCATTCAACTTGGATGCACAAGGGCTGCTAGAAGCATCCCCTTAACAGCATAACCTTTGGCCTGAACGGACAATGAGTAACTCAGAACCGTTGCTATATGATCGTTGGTGCAGTGGGTCGTTTAGATTCATCAGTTACTATTTTTTTTTCTTTCAGTCGAACCCCAGTCCCAATCCCCTAAGTCCCTCCCACCTTTCCCCTTTCATAAAATAAAATAATGCAGATGCAGAAAAAATGACTACTGTAGTCACTTACACTCTTCCCGAACAGCTGATAACCCCAGTAGCTTACTATTCAGCATATATAATTCATTTACATGATAAAGCACTCTGGATATGGCCCTAAACCAGTTTTTATTCATAGCTAGCATCTCTCTAGGTCAACCACAAAAAAAAAGAAAACAAAAAAACAAAACTCCTACAGCCAGCAACCAAACTACGGAACCTTCAGAAATTAAAGACCCACAATAGTAAAATACACAGAACAAAATATCTGAGGTATAAGATAAAAAATGTAATTTTTTTTCCTCTTTTTAGTTTTTAGAGTTGCTAAAATGATGCACTACTGCATGTATTGCAATACCCAGGCCTCGGAAAGCTTCCTTTCTCCCCACATTGGAAGGTTTTTATGGTTTTGTCATTTAGTATGGAGCAAAACGGTTGTATCCCCCTCGGTATATACTAGCCTGCAATGAAGAAAGAACGAGACCCACATCATCAGCATGGCTCCTAGTCTTGGCATCAGTCAAGGGTGCAAAAGCATTCTGAAACAAAGCAATTTGAGGGGTGTGTTTTTTACATTTTCCTTTTGCAACACGTGGATCATCAAAAAAAAGACTACTCATGTGAAAAATAGACACTCAAACTCAACCAAAATGAAGGCACCCCTACCCAACCCCAGGTCATTCTTGGAGAACTGAAGATAGGGCCAATCCTAACCCCCCCCAAGAGCTCCACAGACAGAGAGCCCCTCTGAAACCCAATTCTGTCAGCCAGTCCTGGTAGTTGAAAGGACTCGGATATACACTGGACCACTGAAGGATGTGCAGTGTCTCATTCTGTTTGCTCATTTGATTCATTAACACTATGATCCATCGGGAAAAGCTCAATCTACACTCAAGAGGTTGAATGCAGACGACTGATTGAATGTTGTAATTCCACTCTCTTTTCCAACACATAACTCAAGTGGACTAGGTGTTGAAGCAGAGTGGTTGAAGGCAAAATCAGGATGGAAATTTAAATCAACTCCTTACTTGACGTGGCTCAATGAGCAGTATGGGAATTTGCGCTTAAGAGGGGAGTCATACGGATGGATTGCTTGATGTAACCGAGCTTGTGCAAAAGAACATGGTCCCCAGATCGTGGCTGAATTTCTACCACCACGCTCCAGTGAATTGTCTGGCCATGGCTTTAGACGGCTACGAGGTGGCACTTAATTTAGTTCCTTTTTCTAAAGGTACTGGCGATTCAAATGAATGCCTATGGGGATTGAGTTTTAGGATAAAGGACTGAGATTCTTGATCCCAAGCAGAAAGCTGCATGCCAAAAGCTTTGTAATGATTGCATACGCTCTCACGTGATGGGCACGTCTTACTGTACTCAAGAGTTTTAGTGCATAGAAGTTTGAACAAGTACAGGCAAATTCACCCACCCTCACCTCCCCTGTTTGCCCTCCCCCCACCCCCCAAACAAAAACCCAACCCCCCAAAAAACAAAAGACAACCCCCAAACCCAGCTGATTCCTTCTAATTCCTTATGTACTAGGCACACACACAAAGTGTGCCCCTCTCTATTTTCTTTCCTGGGCGACTATGACTTTAAACATGAATTGTAATAGGGGAGGAGAGGCAGTCAGATTCTCAGCTGCCTGACAGCAGAGGCCTGGAAGTGTGCAGCTTAGCTCCTCTGAAGTCTGTGCTGGGGCTGGAACCTTGGGGCTATGTGAATGAGCAGCAAGGGAGGGAAAAAAAAAAGAAAAAAAAAGTTCTGCATTGACACTGCATTCTGTTAGTGATGGATTTAATTATCAAAATGACTAATTATTCCATTAAGGTAAGTGCTCTGCTAGGTGAGACTTGCAAAATTAGAAATATAATAACTTACATGCACTACATTGCCAAGAAATTAAGACATTTATCAAGTTTACTGGGAGGATTAATGTGGCATTTTAGCTGCTGTTAGATTAGCACAAGAGACAAATTCAATTAAGGGGAGAGTGAGAGGACGTCAACCGTCAACCCGTACAAAGGTCCCAGCTGGGGAAGGGAAGGGAGCGGGAAGAAGTGAGGAAGAGGAGGAATTGGTACTCACCATGGCACCAACGCCGTAGGTGGGGGCTGGAGCAAGTGTGTGGTGGTAGGGGTCGGCAGCATAAACTCGTCCGTAACTGAAAGGGAAATAGAGGTGAAGATTAATCCATAATATGCAGTTATAAAGTAATAATAGCAACCATAAAATGCAAAATACCAAGACAGTGTGGAGGGGCCCTATTCATCTTCATACCTAAGAAACATATTCCTATCTGCCACATAACATTTAAAAAGTCCATCTGTGCATAGCACATTCTTTTGTCCATTTAACATGGCTGGTCTCTCAAAGGACCATTTCTAACTGCTCATGCGGCTACCCTGGAGACAGAGGTAGGCAAACAAACAAACAACACAAAACAATGTGAAAGAATGGTTTTAAGAAGCCCAGTACACCCAGGACCCCCAGAGGACATGTTAATACTCAAGAGAGATGGTCCTTTTCTCCTAATTTAGCTGTCACCAATCAAAGGAGAAAGGGTGAATCAAAATGGGCAAAGTGACCCAGTCTTTGCAGTTAGGGTCCAACATCTTTGTTAAGAACAAAGACACTCAAATAGAAGCATCCTTGAAGGGTTTCTGGGACGCCACCCCACCCCACTCAAGAGTTATAGCTGATTTGATTTCAATCCTATCACTCCAGAACCTCTAACTCATCAATCAATGGCCAGGTTCTGGGGAGGGACACATTTCAAACAGTATTTCTTGATGACAGTTCCTTATCTTCGAGTTTTTCTGTCTCTCTTTCCCATCCTCCTCCCTCCTCTGCCATGACTTCCAGCACAGGCCTCAGAATAAAAAATGAAGAAGGGAAGGAAGCCTGATGCATTCAGTGTGTATTAAGTGTCCGGGACTGAATGATGCCACAGATCAGACATTAGGGTTCAGAGAGGTGAAGTCACTTGCTCAAGATCACAGAGCTAGACAGTCAGAGCTGACCTTTACATTTCTCAGAGCCACTGGAAGGATCTTTCCATGGTGGCATGTACCCTTGCTTAAATGGCCTGCCGGATATCTCCTTGCAGGTAGTTTGAACATTGCTCCTTCAGTAATGATCAAAGCTGAGATGCAATCTTAAGTTAGGTTCCCCAGAAGAGCCTGAAATAGAGAGTCTTGTGCATGTAAAGAAGAAGGAGAGAGAGAGGCAGGCAGTTCAATAGCAAGGGAAAGAGGAGAAATGGCCTAAGCGAGAGACTAACTTTGACCTGACCCTGTGAGTTGTGCCCCAGAATGAATCCCAGCTGGAGGCAAAGGGGTTGGTTTTTCGAACACTCATGTAAGTTAAGCATTAGCTGCAGGTTTCCCTGAGGGGTGGAGAAGAACTGAGTTGAAGTGACTTTCGTGGGCAGAAGGTAATTCTCTGAAGAAAGGAGCACCTGAGCACTGTTAGCAGCTGGGGAACGGGGATACCAGTCACTAAATGGGATATATGTGGATTACCCACAGCTTTTGGCTCTTGGACTTTTCTTTAAAGAATGAAGAAACAAGGCTGGAAGAAATGGTTTGTCTGTTCTATCAACTACTGTCAAACTTAAGCCACCTCCCATCTCTTGGAGTCTAATTTCCACATGCTTTACTCTTCTCCTTCCCTATCTTTTCACCATTTTGCTTCCAATCTTCTTGCTCATAGTTGGTGAATAAGAATGTACTGGATGGGCCTGGCTAGCGTGGCTCAGCGGTTGAGTGTCGACCTATGAACCAGGAGCTCATGGTTCAATTCCCAGTCAGGGCACATGCCCCAGTTGCTGGCTCAATCCCCACGAGGGGGGCGTGCAGGAGGCAGCCAATCAATGATTCTCTCTCCTCATTGATATCTCTGTCTCTCCCCCTCCCTTCCTCTCTGACATGAATATATTAAAAAAAAATCTACTAGATGGAGCATATAAGCCAGTCAGAGAAAGGCAAATATCACATGATCTCACTCATACGTGGAATCTAATGAACAAAATAAACTGATGAACAAAATAGATCCAGAGACATAGAAGCAAGGAACAGACTGTGGAATCTCAGAGGGAAGGTGGGGGACGTGGGTGGGTGGGAAGAGATTAACCAAAGAACCTGAATGCATATATGCATAATCCATGGACACAGATAATAGGGTGGAGGCCTGGGATGGGGGGAGGGGCAGGGGCGCGCTGGCTAGAAGGGGTCAATGGCAGGGGGGAGGGGACATATGTAATCCTTTCAACAATAAAGATTAAGAAAAATAAAAAAGAATGTACTGGATGGGCCTGGCATGATTGCTTACACCATGGAACCCTGAAAGTTCGGAAGAAGTTGGGTGAAGATCCTTCTAACTCATGGGCTCTAGTTTAGACTCCGGGTGGGAAAAATGATTTGACCAGTTCACATTGGATGTGTCTTCTTCCCGAGCCCTCCTTGCCTGTTCAAGGGGTACCAAGTGCCAACAATCCAGATGAGGCTTTCTGCTTCAACACACTGTGTTCTCCCGATCCTCACAAGCGGTATGAGAATGGATTTTCTCAGTGAAACAGACAGTCCACCCTCCCCCGTGCACTTCATTCCCTGAGACACCTGCCAGCCCCCTGGCTCATCACAAAAGGCCTTCCAAGACCCCCATCTCTCTGGGAGGAAAAACAGATGGGAGTCCAAGACAGAGGGCATGGTAAAACAAGAGGAATGATGACATTTTTTAAGAAGTCACTCATTCAGGGAGGTCACTCATGAAAGCTGGGCCTCGACCCATGCAATTAGAAGTAAATATTCATAGGTGTAAAAGAACATGAGATACAACTTTGTCATTCATTTTTATTTCATGAGAAAGTAAAGTTGTCATTAGTCCAGAGGGTTAAAAAAAGTGATCATAGAATTATTTTTAATGCACTTTCACTCTGCAAAGCTGGTGGTATGAACAGGACATATACGACAAAAGAGAACTGAAAACCCTTGGAAATGGACTATGTAATGCCACAGCATGATGTCCCTTCAAAACGTGTATGAAGATGTAAATTCAGAGGAATTATTGTTTTTTCTTTTAATTTGGGGAATGATTTCACTGTGGCAAAGATGTCCTCTTTTTGGTAGACGACATGTTGATGGCCTGAATGCATTGCATGAAAACGTAGCTCCCACCCTTTTCTCCCACGTACTTTAATTGTACATTCTTATTTGTTTATAACACTGGGCAGAGCCTCAGTGGAAAGCCCAAGGTAACAATTTGGCAATGTTCTCTGCCTGGGCAGAAGAAAAATACAGCAGCGCTGAACTATTCCTGGTAAATGAGCAGGCGCCTTTTCTCCTCAGGGTGACCTCTACCTTCAGATTCTGATGGTTTTATTATGATTAATAAATTTCATTTCCACAGAGGAAAAGGGACCATGTCAGCTCAAACTGAAAGCAAGGAGGCTTCTTTTCAAATGCTAATTTCTGAACACGCCCTTGTGTGACACTACAATTTAGACACAAGGTTATTAGGGAAGATGTGGACTCCAGCTCTACTCTCACAACAGCTATGCCAGGCACGTCAGCAACCCTGCGCCCTCAGAGCTGGCTAAGCACAGCCTGAAGGAAGAATGGCAAGTCCCAGGGACCCCAATGGAGTGATGGGAAAATGTGTCTGGACTGCCGTGTTATGAGTGATCTCCGCACATGGTCACCTCCGCCCCACCTGGCCTTGGCCAAGGTGGACCACAGTGCATCAGGTCATGATGCTCTGTTTCCCTGCAGCCCAGCCCTCAGAAATTACAGATGAAATCTTAAATGTATCCACGTCATTCCATTCACACTGTCACCATCCTAACATCACGTATTTCACCAGAACCAAATCAACAGTAGCCTTAAATCTTGTCTCTTTGGCTCCACTTCTGCTTCTCCAAACCACCAGCCATTTACTATTATATCTGTATCTATCTATCTATCTATCTATCTATCTATCTATCTATCAACCATATATCTATCTGTTCATCTATCTATCCACTTATCTAATTGAGATAAATCTACTTATATCACTTCTTTGCTTAAAACCCTCCCCTGATTCTAGAATACAATCCAAACTTTCCTGACTCGTCCCTGTCCCTCTCTCAATCCTCTCATGCACCCCTCTAGCCCTTGTTTACTGTGTTCCAGGCACACTGGCCTCTTCAATACTCCTTGGACACATGCAAATTCATTCTTTCCTTAGGGCTTGGGCACTCACTCATTCTCCACCCGAATTGCTGCCTTTTCTTCTTTATGTTTCAGGTCAAATGTTACTTCCCTAGAGAGATGCTCCCTTTCCTGACCCCTCTTTCTGAATCACACTTTCCCATCCTCTCCTCACCCCCTCATGCCAAGTAGCAAATCGCTAGTAATTTTGTTTACTTACTTCTCTCCCTGGCTATTCACCTGTCCCCCCTCCTGCACTGTCAGCCCCATGGAGTCTGGGGCAGAGTCTAGCACAGCACTGGCCACAGTGCAGAGGAACCAGAGCCACGCCACTGCCGCCAAGTGAGTGGAGGCAGCAAGAGGGAGGAGTGGAGAGGAGGGAAGTGTACCCATCATTATGATTCTGTTAGTGGCAAAGCTTTCCGAAGTCTTTAGGTCAGCTGCTCTCAGAAACATTCAAACCCCTTAAGGACACCCATAAGAAAACTTTCTGGGGACTTTGGAAATACAGTGTGTAATTTCCCATCACCCCCAAGAATTTATAAATCACTGCCCAAGTTGTCATAAGGCTCACCAAAACCCTTTAGGGAAAAACCAAATAAACAAAGGAATGAAAGGTAACAGCTTGCTGCCATCATGAGCCCTTGTCTAATTTTGACTTTAGCAACAACTTAAAAGGAGGAGGCCCACACCGGGCCCTGGGAAGGGCAGAGGCCTTGGGGCAAGAAGATCCAGGTTCAAGTTCTGCCTTTGCAGTGTCCTTGCTCAATGACTTGGGCACCGATACCAAGGATACCAATAAAATGGTATCGTTTTATCTGAGCCCTGCCTAATTCACAGATAAAGTGCATGGGAAGAAACCAGACACGTTTTAAAGCAGTCTGCAGATTATGATACAAGGGCTTTTATATAGGTTTTCACAAGCCAATCTCTGTAGAAGGAACTGAAGGATCCTCTTCTAATATGATCATGTGTA